AGAGCGTCGACCTGACCATGTCTCTGTTCATCACGCTGTTACTACGTCCATGGATGTCAATACGTTATCGTGCTGAGAACGGAGCGACAATTTTCACGCACCCGACACTCGCAAGCGAGCGTAGTACGAACTTAGAGTTACGTGGGTACTATGCCTTCCACGTCTCTAATACGCCCGCACTGCGCTGTCTTTCCGCCACGCTCGCACCACGATTGTTTTGAACATGTTCAAAGTTTGGCCACGCTCTCCACGCTCATGGTGACTGCACCGCGCTCGATCGCGATCGCAGTACGTCCATATACGTTCATACTGCGTTCTACACGTTTCCATCACGCTCTTAGAGCGTAGTACGAGCGTAGTGAGATCGGGGCCCTGGTGTGAATGGGGTATACCTCTGTTACCCGTACCACTCTTACTGGCCTATATTGATTGCCCTGGACCACTCTTGCTGCTGCTGATGCCTCTGCTATCCCCGCTGCAGCCACCACAACCACCGCTGCTGCAACATCTTTTGCTACTGCTGTGGCTACAACTTCTATTACTACTACTACTGCAGCTGCTGCTGCTGCAACATATACTGCGACTGCTGTGAAATTTGCACATTACAATGTGAAATGTGAAAATTACCTTCGTAAAAATCCGCATCATAATGAGATAAGATTATTATATGAGGGGCCAGCTAGCTAGTATTCCCATTTCATTTCTCATTAATCAATTAAGTTTTAATGTTAAACTTGGATGATTTTATCATCAAGGAACAAAAGGTAACCAGCCTCATTAGGGCCAAATGATAACCAAATAGCTGCACTTCAGGGGCCTTCCTTCAGTAGTAATGAAATAAAATAAAAAGATTCTCGATCGATGGACTTGTATGCTATGGTCACCCTACCAGCTGCTATCATATCAGGTCTGACTCTGTCGTACCCACTTTGCTTTGTATAACTAAGAGTCATCGGTTAAATGGATGTAGGATATGAAACTGTTATAACCTCACATCATGCAAAGACACAAATTTGTAAAATTAAAACAGAGAACAACCATAAGTTACTTATGCTAATATATTTACACGTGTTATTACCAATACATACATGCAGGCTTTCCAGCAGACCTGCGTTAATGGTAGAGAAATTTTAAAATAGAAAATGTATTTCGACTGGTAAATATTAGACACATAATTTTCTTTGCTTGTTTAAATTATGATGGAAATGCTGATTAGTACAACTCCACATGCAACACGAGAAAATAGCATGACATATTTATTGATTCCTATTTTTCGCAAACCACGTTTTACTGCATTATAGATATAACCACTGAAATAACTCCAAAATGTTCTCATGCTCTTAAGGTCACTAACGCGTGAAATTGTCAATATTATATCTATTTAGTAGACATTCACTACTTCACCCAAGAAAGATTATGAATAATTTAGAACAGCATTAAAATAAATGCCTTTTACATTTACAATCATGTGGCATAGTACATCCTGCTGTAGCATGGAAGGTTATTCCTAAACATAGAGTACTGTACAAATTAGCATAACTTAAGTACCATGTGGTTAATGCTTGGTAGGTTTAATACATTGAACTTAAACATGGTATGTTCATCCCTCAGTGTTCTAGTTACCTTTTCCTTACTATATCACTCTCTACATACATCTTACTCACTGCTGCCACCTGGTGGATGAAAACTCATCAACATACGAAACATAGAATACAGGCCCAGCAAACGAACATCACAATTTTTCTATGTATATCCATGGTAACCACTGCTTTGCCCTGGATTGCTACTACCATATCGGCTGTGACCGTACCTATTGCTTCCACCATAGTTATCACTTCCTGTTCTTCTGTAGTCATTATGACTGCTTCCTTCATGCCAGCGTCCTCCTCCTCCTCCTCCTCCACCTCCCCATCCTCCGTGTCCTCCTCCTCCTCCACCTCCCCATCCTCCGTGTCCTCCTCCTCCTCCACCTCCCCATCCTCCGTGTCCTCCTCCTCCTCCTCCTCCGTCATATGGTCGTTTTCTGTTATATTGATGAGATTGGTTCCTACATCAGAATTATAATGGGTTATCTATGCCCCTGGTATTATACTACTGTTTTTCTCTTTAGCAATGTTTACGAATTGATTGTATATCAAGGAGTAGGTAGCAAACATAAACAATTACATATGGGTTCTTATGTCTATACCTGCCTCCACCATGTAACTTAATTCATCATTAGAATTCATCAATATCACACAAAGTGATTGTACAGTATTGAAAGTCTATATTATTTGCATGCGACTATTTAACTTACACCTATAAAACTTGTTGAACTCACCGTGAGTGATCGAAATCTCTTTTAGGACGTGTAAAAAAGTTTTCAACACATGGAGGAGTAATATTTCCTTTTGCTAGTGCTGAAGCATAGTCAGCATCTTTGTCCGTAAACCTATCTGCAAAAAATGGTGGAAGTGAGTGCAATATGTTTCATTACAAACAAGTCATGACCTTTTCACAACGTAGTTTAGCATGATTTTTAAAGAGAACTTCTATTGAGTTATCTAAAATTCACAAATAAACTATATTTAGGCTGGTTTAGAATATTACGAATATAATAATTACTGTGTAATTAAGATAATACTGAGCCAATTGAGTTGTTACTCAAATATTCTTAAAACAAGTGGCGCGGAGCGACAGCGCTCATCTTGCGTCTGCTGCGGTGACTCTGTGTTGGAGTGGTGGGATTCTAGTAAACCCTGTTAGTCCCAAATGTGTTCACATACACGCCGAAACAGTGGAAGGCACAGGGATGGTATCAGGAACCTTCTCGAAGGTATGTTAGTTGGGATCGTTATGAATATTGCCACGAGATGGCGCGTACGTTTAAGTGTCTTAAGATTAAAGATGGAAGCTCCCATCGTACGTAGTAGCAACAACTATTCGCAAGACAGAATAGGTAAGCACTCATCCATTTACCTACGCAAGCCTACAGGCTGAAATAGAGAGCTGCCACCTGTAACTAATTAACGCAGGCAAAAACTACACAGTACTATCACCACCACATGCACTGGCAGTGGCTACTGGCAGTGGCATAAGTTATATGTAACACACTGACAGTACAGAATGCCATAGAAATTATACGATTTAAGGAGCATAAAACTTCTTCAACCAAATTTAGCTTTTGAAATTTCACTGTGACATTGTAGCCTCATACATCCAGGCATGTATAGATTCTACTAGCAAACCCGGCAGTCAAATTCTTTCTAACAGTAAACAAATCCATGTTTAACCCTCCTCTTGAAGGTCAAAAGGTTATCCGACACTTACTCTTCGCATGTCAGCGGAAAGTACATTTCATGGTCCTTTCAATAAAGCCATAAAAATGGTAGGTCACCGCTAAAACAAAAATTTTTTTCAATCGCACCGTCAGACCATGTCTTCAGAAAATGTCTAAAATCTGCCCTGTGCCCCATTGACCTTTGACCTGTGACCTCCAATTTCAGGACAGTGATGGCTTTTCCTACCATGATGCTATACACCGACTATCACGAGCCTAGGTCGAGCCGTTTAGATTTGTGCCGCAATTCTGCATTTCCTCCTTATACCTTAAGTTAAGGAGGGAATGTTCCCCCTTCTTTTACACCTCTTGACCTTTGACCTTTGACCCCCAGCTTCGACATCCCAACTCGTTTTCGGATTACCCCCCCAAGTCCCAAATATCGTGACCGTACGTCGAGCGGTTAAGATTTGTGCCCAACTGTTGAAGGACGGACGGACGCACGCACGCTCATGCGATTCTACAAGCTGCATCTGACTATGTCAGATAAGCTAACAAAAGTGTTGGCCAGAAAATTCAACAGAACTACCACTGAATCACTGAAACGCATACACATACAGTATGCTACAAACCAAGCCCAATTTCACATGAGCAAAAGTTGGCAGAATATATTATATCTATTAATTACTAAGGTGCAAGTTATAACAATGCAGAATTACATTACATACGCATACTGCATGCCTACCTTTGAATAGGACTTCGTACTCAGACAAGATAGCTGCAGAGTTGCTTTGCACACCATGCTCTGCTTCTGTTACAGCAGTAGAGCATGAACCTTCATCTGCAGACTCTGCATTGCACACTTGGCCATCACTCGTCTTCAATTCTTCATCTGACGACATCACTAGAGTAGCTAAAATATGTACAATCACTGCTATTATCAAGTGCTTACAGGATCAACTCAGAACAGATGAGCAAACAACAAGTTGAAAATACGAAAAGTTAACTAATAGTAGTAGCTGCATATTATAAAATAAAAAAAGGAAAATTTACTGCTAGTCGAGATATTTTGCCTGGCATGAATTGTGATTCACTTCTGGTTAATTAAGATTAAAGAAAAAACAACACAAGGTCTAACAAGCTTATTCACAAATAAAACCTGATGTTAGCGTATTTATACGTATTTTTACGTCATATAATTAACAATATGGGAAGTACTTGGGGAGTGCAAAATGATTTCACATGCCAATAAGACTTATAGACCATGACAGGAGTATGATGTTAGAAAATACCGGATTCATGCCAATACTATACAAGTACAGAATTTAACAAGCACCAACTTAGTACTTGCGCATCGGTCAGCGCAATGGCACTAGAAGTGTTGTTTGGCAGGAATAGTTAAAATAGCCAGTATGAATGAATCTTAATCAACCTTGATCAGGTTTTGATTTACCAGTCATCACTTACAAATAAAACACCATTAAAATATATAACTACCAGTACCAGTTCAATCCTATATTTGCACCCTTATCACGACATGGAATAAGATTATGGTTAAGTTAGAGCTAGGGATACTAGGGTATGTGGGGTTAAGACTAGTACTTGTCACCTGCCCTGAGACTAGGTCATGTATTGCAGTTGTCGAAAAATATGCGAACAATTAGTTACTAATAATATAATTACGATGTGGATATTCGTCCGAGCATCGGACACCTGTTTGTATGCGCTATTCGTCCGAGCATCGGACACCTGTTTGTATGCGCTATTCGTCCGAGCAGTTGTTGCGCACGCGCTGTTCATGTAGCATGCCGCAGGCGCACGGCCTCTAGTGCCGGAAATAGGAAGTGTGAAGGGGGGTCTGAGGGGTCTCCCCCAAGACAATTTTTAAATCTAGATGCTCTAAAATGCTATTTACCCTTTAGATTTATGATGTTTTGCCCTTTAGGCTGGGGGCCCATAGCGTTTTGCTACGGCAGCCCTACGGCTGGGACGCCTCTGCATACATGCGTTGCGTATGTGGTTATACTCCATAGATAGTGTTTGGTACTATCACTCGCGTATATATACGAAACCGAGCGCATAATAATAGAACCGAGTCGGTTTATAGTTAGTGTTAGGGCTGTGGTTAGGATTAGGATTAGGGTTAGGGAATAGGCGCCTTCCTAGACTAGCATTATATTACATTTATGTACTACAACATGAACAGCGTATGCGCAACAACTGCTCAGACGAATAGCGCTTACGAACAGGTGTCCGATGCTCGGACGAATATCCACGTCCATATAGTAAGAAGTTCATTCATTATTCGGAACAAGGATAGTTTGGAACCCCTGGCCCTGCAATATCATGTTTTCGCATGTGCTAAACTAACCTGGGATGCTAAACTAAGCTTGGGCATCATGCAGTGATTCATTAATCCTGACCTATGAGCCCTGTTTATGATATGGGCCTAATCATTCAGACATTAGGCTATTGTTATTGAGTACTAAGTAGTCATCGAGTACACAGGCACTTGGACCGTTTCAATAATAAAATGATGGTTAATAAATACAACTTGTCAGTAGCCTACTACTACAGTTACCAGCAATAGTCTTAATGTTTGATTTGACCTAATAACTTCACTTCAACACCGTTAAATACACCGATGCAACACATAGCCCGCACGCCATTGTGCATGCACAGATACACAGTAGATAGGAGAAGGTAAGAAAGCGTGTTCACAGAAATTCCAGAACGCTCCACTTTTGTCGCA